AATGGAAAACTTTAAGCATTCAAAATAATGTTATTTCTCTAAAATGGTTATTTGTTTCGAAATGACACCACAAACCCATCCTATGAATAAGACTATAGTAAAACCAGTTAACAATAATGCTCAATGTAAAACCACTACTGATGAATGGGAAAAAAAACCTTCTCTCCATTTCATCCATAATGTTAAGGCCCTTTTTCTTTTGTTCAGTGGTTACACTTACACAGACAGAAACATACAATAAGTGGTCTGTCTGTAAAATATTGAGAATATTGTTTTATACTCAGAACCCACCAATACACAGTAACAAATTATTTCAATTTTCCCAACAAAAAAACAATGTATACATGGTAACATCCCAACCCAACACAAAGTTCTGCAGCGAATCTACCAGTGTCTACCATACACCAAAAACAGAAGTTTACTGTAAATCAGTTACAGTCTGGCCCACACGCACCTCATCCACATCACAAGCCAACATGTTTTCCCTGGCCAAGCAAGCCAGGGGAAATAATCGCCTAGCATGGCGAAATCCCAGCCACTGAAAAAGCATCCAACCCTGCCTATATCTATCTCTAACCTAACCCTGTTGCCTCTTATGCTAAAAAGCGTGCATTCGCCTAATTGGTAAAACGCTGGTGTGACAGGTGTTGGCCCATGTGATGAGTCAGTGTGATAGTACAAATTAACCTTTAGAACCTTTTGAAATGACAGTGTGTTCCTTGGTAAAAACAAGATATTTCTTCATGAAAATGTGGCCAAATGCAGAGATTTGTGGTTGTAGTGTTTTGAAAAAAGTGTGTTTTTTTAGAACTGCAATTTGAGTGTAAAGCAGGAAGTGTGCTGTAGTTTGTAGCGAATTAACGTTTTCAGGGGGGTCTGGTCGCATGAGGTTTACATTTGTGGTCATTTTGTGTCTCAAGTACCAGTAATTTTGTGTGAAACAATTTGAGAAAAACTGTTACATTTTGTGGGTCATTTCTGCATGTTTCCGCCGTTGCATTTGCATGCAAGGGAATTTTACTCGGATCACACACTCCACATTTGTACAAACCAGTCATCTAAAGACAATTTACGATAAAAAGTTGCCGCTATTTACGACATTCCGTTGAACAGGCGTGGAACGGGGCGTGGCGTTCCGTGCATCCAATGTTCGGAACCTTCGCCCATGAAAACAAGTTTGTCATGACTTGCTGCGTAACATGATCCGACTGCAACGAAACTTCACATGTCTTGATGAGAGTCCCGCCCTGAACATGTCTATGTGGGAGAATTGAGGGGTTTTGCCCTTTGTGTGTGTGTTTTGATTTGTGTGTAGAGTTCTGAGAGTATGAGGCATGCTTTCAGAAAATGTGTGTAAACAATCGAGAAAAACTGTAATAAGGTCGACTTCCTGTTTAGTTTGGGTTATGGGTCCAAGAGGCTTTTCTGCTTATTTTATCACGATACACATGCGTACCGATTTTCGTACATGTCAACCTTACGCGTCTTGGGGGCTGACGGGGACAATTGCATACTTTGGGTTCTCAAACGATTAAATTTTGTGAACATTTCCATGAGCTTTCGAGCAAATATGCAGTCAAACAGGCAGCAAATAATAATAATAATAATAATAATTGCTAGAGATACAATGGGGACCTAGTAGTTAGCATAAGCTAGCAAACAAGTAATTTTTGCCTATTTATCTATATCTTTCTTGTAGCCTAACTAAATCTTTCTTACCTTGATCTTAGTTCTTGCATTCCAAAACCACCAACATTTTACCTTGAGAGCAATGAGCTTCAATGAGCTAGCTGCAACACAATTTGCTTAAATTCTTATTAAAGTTACTATGTGTATGTTATTTTGATGACAGATATTATTGATTACCGTTGATTAGTCTTAGCACTCTAAAGGTACTCTGCCTTTGTTTTGTTGCGCATCAAAGTGAATTTACTTTTTACCGTGCTGGATTTACAGTGTCAGTGCCTCTGTGTTTGAGTGTTTGAGGGAAGAAAAACAAAGACAAAGAACCTTAACTTGTTGAGGTATTCTGCCTTGGTTTTTCTGGGGGTTTTGGAAGGACCACCATCGATTTTCTCCAAAACAAAAAACAATAAAATTGACAAGATATTTGTCCAAATGATAAAGAATAGTTATAGTTATAGTATTAACTATAGTATAGTTAATAGTTATTATCAAGTCTCATTCCCTGGTGTAGACATTTGACAATGCAACAATCAAATATCTTTCTTGCCTCTTACTGGCTGTTTTTATTCAGCCACAGTGGATTCTTGTTCAGTTAGTTAAAATCTGCAACTTCACCACTGTATGCCACTAAATCCTACACACTGGTCCTTTCAGTTCACTTCAAGTTGATTTCTTACAAATGGAGCTGGGCGATAAATTAATTCTAATTTGAATTTTAATATGGTGTAAAATCAAGATTTAAACCATAGATCTTACAATACAGCGATATACAGCTGCAAAGGACTCTGCAAAAGAAACCCCAATCCACTCAAGTCACTCATTTACACAAATCGTATAAAATATCATTTTCCGATAGGATCCCATATGGCCCCAATGAGAAGACATTACAGATTTGGTGGAGTTACATATCACCAAAGATATGGTCTATTTATGGTGTTTGTTTTTAAGAAAAATCTTTTTTAATTTTTAAGGTAAATCAGATGGGAGATCCGCTACCCCTATTATCAACACATCTTGATGGGTTTGGATTAGTTCTACCCTTCCGTTCAGTCATCAAAAGCTAAACGCATGCAACATCCACTTGACTATTAGGCAGACAGTGAGGCCACATGGTTAACCATCTTTAATATGAAACAATATTTGGACCAGATCAAACAGTTGTTACATGGTGGTTTTTTGGCCACTGCAGTCCCTTTCCATGTCCTGACACATCCCCAGACAGCCAGCCCTCTCCCAGCTGCCTTCAAGGTGCCTGTTTCTAGGACCGCTTCCAGGAGCTGAGCTTCATTCCAGCTGAGTGCATCCTTCTCCAGCTTCTCCTTCCTCCCTCCCGACAAGTTAGGTCCCTTTCAGCTGGGCAGCTGATGGTCGGTCTGCCACTGGAATATGTCTTAGTGTGGTGAAGGACTCAGTTTCTAGTATGATAGGTGGTTATACTGGGATGCCCGATAGTGGGAAAGGAAACGTGCGTGAAAGATTCAAATTAACCAAACAGGTTCTTCCCACATTGACAATTTTCTATATCAAGTGCCAATCAAATCAATTTGAAATGGAGAAATGATAATTGATCATTAATAAGGAAAATAGAATCACAATAGCTATTTGTCATGCAGGAAACTGTTTTAAGAGCATGGTCTTAGAGTGCAACTCATCTGCAAAAACCCAAAAATGTACAACTAAGAAAATGTGGTGATGGTGCTGTTTAATTCGTCTTTAAGGGCCTGCTGATGATAGATACATGTTTGGAGTGTTTGGAAACCACATTGTTTTACTTGTTTTATATGTTCTTTTGCATATTCGGCAATAACAATTGAACTCAAGCATGGCCTACCATTGTTTGTTCCTGCTCAGTGGGTTACCAACTGTGGGGAAGAAGATGTGAGGGGGATTGTCCCACAGAGTACAATGCAAGTCTAGAAGCAGTGGAGGTGAGGACGGAAAACATTTCAGTCACCACACACCTCCAGGTCCTATCTACAACTTCTCTTATTTCTATCATCTTTCTTTATTCAGCTTTAAAAGATTGATGATTGGGCCAAAAAAAAAAAAACTGAAAGATTTTTTTCCTGCTCTGCAAAAAATATAATACTTTGGAAAACAAAAAGGGAGATCTTATATAGACGAAGAGCCAACCGAAAATGAACACATATCTGAGTATTTCCATCTAACATTTCATCTGAACATCATGTTCCCTTAGCATTTCTTTTTCCATTTTTCACATTAAGAAAAGAGTAGAAAGTTAGAAATGGTCTGGAGATGTATGGCCATGGAGTAGGAGGAAGAGGAGGAGGAAGAGGAAGCTGTCTGATCCACAGAGAGTCCTGGATGGGAAGGGAAGCTAAGGCTACCTCTGCCTGGCTTCAGCTGGGCAGCTCCTGGGCTGCAGGGAGGACTGGTGTGGGGGAGAGGGGAGGAGGGTGAGCAAGGAAGGTGGTGAGGTGTAAGGAAGCGGGGAGGCGAGAGGAAGATTGGTAGATGGGCAGGTGAGATAGGAGGAGAGGGGGAGAAAGAGACAGAGAGGGCTACACGCTAGTCAGGTGATCAGTCCATTGGCCGCTTTTCGCCATGTTTCTTTGTAAACTCTTCAGCGTTCTTCAAGAATTTTTTACGGTCCTTTGAGTATTCTTCTGCTAGATCTGCCCTCAGGGGATGCTCCGGTTGGGGGTCATTCACCAGCGCAATGAGGGACTGAATTACTGCAAGACACACAGCCAAAAATATCAAGTTAGACATGGACAGTTCTTTACTACGGAAGCGCATTGCATTCACTGGATAATATGTAATTACGAGTTATGGTGTCAATTTTTTTTTTATCCAGTGAATGCAATGCGCTTCCGTACTTTACCTAACAAGACTATGGCCTCTAGTTTCACAGGTATGAGTTAAAGCTGCAGTAGGTAACTTTTATAAAAATAGCCATAGTCATATTTGCTGAAACGTTTACTATATCCTGACAGTAGTACATGAGTCGATCTCAAAATCATGTTCCTTTGGCCCCCACTAGTGTTCATAATGGAGTGCATTGACAGACAGACGCAATACAATGTACGTGGAACAGAAAGATGCAGTTCAATGCAACTATAATGCCATCTTAGTATTATTGCATAATGGCAAATTGGTTTACAAGAATTAAATGATGGATTCTTCTTGAAATAAAACATTTAAGTGTGTTTCTTAATAAATCAGACACTGATGGTGTCCCTTCTAAGACAATCTGATATGTATCTAGATACATGGGCTACAATACGATTCAGGGACGATGCATTTTAATATCAAACAATACGGTGTGATTCAATACAATTCAATAAGATTTGGTGTCATATGATGCAATCTGATACAGTTCTTAACATTTGTTTAACAGACAAAAAATACTGCATAGAAATCTTACAAATGGCTAGACCTTTTTCCTACTTCTCTTTCTTCTTAAAGAAACCAAATGTCTTCCAAACTTTAGATTTGATTGTGCTCTGTAAATCTGGTCTGTGGTGTTGGACATGTTTCTTTATATTATACCCACACTACGTTACTCTCGCCACTCTTGTGAGAAACCTCAAGTTGACCTTTCACAAGAGCGGAGAAGCTGATAGTTGCAAAGCTTCAGTCAACCAATTTATAACTTCAGAATCTGACCTGTTTATGGTACATTTAGATTAATGCAGGGGTCCACGTACACATGTAGTTGCATCTATAACGTTAAAATCGACTTATTGGGAAATCTTTACACCCCTAAATGATTATGATTATTGTTATTATTCTGTGCTATATCATTCAAATGCAGAACAACAGATTTGATGACACTGGACAGTTGGAGTATCATTTTCATTAGTTTCCCAGGGAGCAAAAAACCCACGTGAATAGAAAATTATGAACGCAGATGCTTAGACAATTACGAAACTGATATTCAACCTTTAATTAAACAGCAGCCAATAAGAAATACCAAACAATAAGAATACTTAAAATAAAGAAAATAAATTGCTTTAAAATTTATTTAATATATTATGAGCCAGGTGCTTCCTGTTTCTCTGTGGGTTGCAGAGAAGTTAGTTTTGAGCCGTGGAGTTGGTGAGGCCAAAAAGTCCAAGCGGTTGCTGTACTTAGACAGCATGATGTATGTTTGACCCACAGACTGCTCCAACCAGAGGTGCAAAAATATAAATATGTAACCCCAGTGATAACATGGCGGTGTATCCTTGAGAGAAATTAATACTTTCAAAAGGGAGAAACCCCTCCATTGGTAATACTAGGCATGAGCAAGTACACCATTATCTGTATCTGCATCAACAAAATGATCTGTATTTGTATCTGTACTTGGAATGGGCAGGACGTAAAACAGACCTGAGAGGTGCTTAAATTTAAGTGGGCTGGGCCCAATAGAAGTTGCTAATTTAAGCCTGCACAATAGGAGGGAAATCTGCGATGACAATGTTCAATATTGTGATGATGATATAACTTTCAATAAGTAAACAAGTATTGAAGAGTGCATATTAGCGGTACACTTCCTATGTCCTAGTAACTCATTTACTCCTGCCTTTACATGGTACGAGAAGCGACGGAGAGACACTGACTCTTATCTGTCCGTGTGCTGTGTCCTCGCTATAGATGTGTGCGTCACAAACGGATGGACAACGGCACACACCACGGCTGTGTAACAGTTCTGTTTATGCTACTGTCTTGACGATGCTTGGATGTTTCACACAGTGTAGTCATGTGCAGAGGCTTTGAAGTCACAAAAAGTTTTGCAGTACACTGATGTCCATTGAGCCTACATGTACACCCTGTGATTATAAATTTACGTGACACGAATCCTAGTAGACCTATACACAGTATAAATTATATATTATATATATTATATTATTTATATAAGTATAAATCCTGCTTAACGCACCCACCTTGGTCAGTTTTGGTGGCAGGCTTCCAGTTCTCTGCACTGATCACAGGCAAGCATACCTGGCCCTTTTCATCGATGTTGGGGTGATAGATTTTTGTCTTGAATGTGATCTTGGGAGGCTTGAAAGGGTACTCAGTGGGGAAAATGATTTCGATCCTGAATGCGCCTTTGTCATAAGGAGGGTTGTCCTGCAAGTGAGCAAAGGTGGTTATTAAAGGAAACTGTGGGCCAAGAAATGTCAGAGCAGTCAAACAAGGAATACCTACTTACAGGAACAATGAGCCCTTGCCATGACAATAGGTTTGATTCCTCAACTTGAATGTTTCTGAAGTTTTTCATTCCAGATCTGCGAATCTCGTCAAGTTCCTGTAAGAATACAGATTACAGAAGTGTCAAATGTCAAGCCAGGGAGGATAAAAGTGAAACAGAATAAACAATATCTAATCAAGAACAGTACTGTACTAGTAAGTGCTGCTATATTGCTGTATTATTATTATTAGGGCCCGAACACTGACTGTGCGAAGGCCCTATTGTAATTGAAGGATTTATTTTTATTTTTCCTCCCAAACGAATAAAAAAAATATAAAATATAATATAATATATAATAAAATATCATAAAAAATATATAATATATATATACGTCAGTCGTGGCGAAAAAATTTGTATTTTCTAGGGGTACACTATAAGCATGGCAAAATGGGCCCTCAGGTGCGGATAAACTGTACCACCCGGGGCCCCTTTCACCAATATGCATAAAAATCGGCGAACAAAAAATTCAGTGGACGCCATATCCCAAACCCAACAGGAAGTCAACCATTTACGATTTAGCTATTTTTGGCACACGTTGTATTTGAACAAACTCCTCCTAGGGAATTGATCAGCTCGACTTCAAATTTGGTCAGTATGATGTAAACAACGTTACGATTAAAAGTTGTGTTATTTGTGACTGATAATCATAGCACCTCCTACTTGAAACAGGAAGTAAGCGTATTTTAATAACGTAACACCCTGAACTTCTCTGGATTGAATTTACCAATTTTGAAGTTGTTCTAAACGTTTAGAACTATCTGTTTCCCTAGGAGGAGTTCATTCAAATACAACGCGAAAAAACGACAACTCACCACATTCATCACGTAACAATATGTTTTGCATATTCTGACCAAATTTTCTGCTAGGAGTAGAACATTAAAGTATAAAACATGATATTCAGGGCGGCACTCTTATCAAACGTGTGAAGTTTCATTGAGATTGGATTGTACGCTGAAGTTATGACAACTTCCTTTTTCATCGCCACAAATAGCACAACTTTTAATCGTAAATGTCTTTAAGTTGCAGTGTTCATGAGTTTGAGCATGTTGCGGCCTCTAAATACGACGGAGTATTAGGGCCAGACAGAGAAAAAATATTAATTTTGGGGGGAAATTACGAGAAAAAAAGTCATAATATTACGAGAAAAAACCCATAACACTGCGAGAATAAAGTCATTATATTACGGGAATAAAGTAGTAATTTTATGAGAACTGTCAGCCTGTTGGCTCAGCCAGCAAAACTGTTTAAAGACGAAATTATCAATACGTTAGCTTACCTGTTGACTGTACGGTAAGACTGAGACAAACAGCGGCTGCTGGGCTCAGGCTGAGGCTGCTGTTTGGTTGAGCTGGTCACGTCAGATCTTGATAACTATCGAAGCTTTTTTCTCAATAAAACCACTTTTTTTTTCTTGTATTATTATTACATTATTCTCGTAACATTAGGACTTTATTCTCGTTATTTAAAAGGAAAAAGTCTTAGTCTGGCCCTAATACTCCGTCGTAGAAGACTTTATATTCAGATTAAAAGATTTATCATGATATATTTAGGAGCACTGAGGGGCCTCACCCTCCAGAACGTAGACGGTGGAGCCGTCGTCTCCCTCCTGGATGACGCAGCAGCCCTTGGTCAGGCTGGTGGGACGCATACAGTCCATGATGGTGAGGATCTGCACACGAGAGCGACACACGTTTCAGTTCAAACAATCACTCACATGAGACGGACGAAGCTCACAGATGTTCCTCTACCTGCCCGTGTTCCAGATGTTTCATGAAGTCGTTGTCCAGCAGAGCTCTATGGATCAGCTCACTGGACCTACACACACACACACACACACACACACAAACGGGTCAACAAGGGGCATCCAGGTGTGGGTGTGTTTGTGTCAGTGTGTGTTTGTGTGTGTGTGTGTGTGTGTGTGTGCTCACTCTTTGGTCTTGCAGTAGCTGGTCAGTGTAACGTCAGTGAGCTGTGACGGGTCCAGTGCTGTTGGTTCTGCAGAGATAGCCTGTCTCTTGGTGCGCTGAGGCTCATCGGGTAGAGCCGGAGTCTGAACCACCGCTCCTGAAAGACGCATCCAGAGAGAGAGAGACAGGTTCAGCAGGCAGACCTGTATGTGTGAGCCACTGGCCCCCAATAATCTAAGGAAGGTCCATTAATTCCTGATAATGGACACCTCGTTGTGCCTTATCCTTTACAAATACAACATTTAAACACAATGGAGTCAGGCACTAGAGCAGAACAATATGACCTGTAACATTTAACCAACAACAACGCCTTGATTCCCTGTTGTATAATTTACAGTGTTTTTATCTCTCTGCTGTGAGTGTGTCGACCTCAGCGGGGGCAAATGAACTGCCCTCGCAGTGTGAACGCTGGCCTGCACACAGCGAGCCTGGAGCTTCAGCTGTGATCCTCTGCAGAGAATAACACAAATCAGCGCTCACATCCTGTTACTAAAACTTGAAGCAGATATGTTATAATTATATGTTATAATTATATGTTATAATTATAATTTATGGGCTCTGAGGTTGTTTGTTTCTGGGGGGTCGACGACCTCCAGCAGCTCGTTTATCTCTCCAACCGTACAGAGAGTAAATATCTTCAGCAGCATATCAAACACACACAATTAAACATAAAGCTCTGAAGTGTGTGGGTGCAGCATAAATATATAATAACAAACACTGAGTGGGTATTTATAGACGCTGTTTCTTTTAGACTTTTTAGGCCGATAAATAAATGATTCAGCAGGGTTTTATTCCTGGAAGCAGAAGAAGAGATCATATAAAACTGATTTAATGAATGACATAAAAATAAACTGATTTGGTATCAGCAGGATATTGTTAATAAACAGGAACTGACCCTTCCTAAGCCCCGCCCCTTTTTGTTCTGCGCTCCAATAACATAATATAATGATATATATATATAAACATTAGTTAACTTAGGATGTGACTATATATGTGTCGTCCTCCAGCAACTGAACGGGGCTCAGCAGCCCGACCCGGGAACGGACACGAACCGGGTTATCAGAATCCGGAACTGGAGCATTACAGTGATCGGGAACACATACAAGTCCAGCTAAACGATATTTACTTTTACCATATTTAATATCCTTTTAAAGTATCCGAGTAGAATTACTTTTATTATTAAGTAAACTCAAGATATCATAAGTGAAAGCTCAGAAGGCAGGGAGGGATTACTTTTAACATGTAACATGATACATCTTACTGAATTACCTGGTTTACATAGTGCATCATCACGCTAACTGTTGCAATCGAGATATTCACGATCATAAAAGGGTAAGTCGATTACAACTTTACTGCTTAACGTGTTGGAATCTCAACCTCAAAACAGCAAATGATTATATAATACAGAGCAGAGAGAGGACTAATAGGATCTCTACTGTTTGATCGAGGAATCGAAGTATTTAACTTAAGATAAAGATTTGATTGAGTCCTCAACACGGATTTGACTAAGCAGCAAGGGGAATGGAGTAAGCAGTACTAAGCGAGCCAACTCACACACAAAATAATGTATTTTCACAGAAGATGAGCTCATATATGCCAGGAGATATGGAACTCATACAATTTAAAGCATATACACTATGCAGTATTTTAAATCATTATATCTGGCTGACATAACCTGGTCACATCTGATTACATCTTCTGAGTTGTGTGGTATCTGTGTGTGAGTAGTCAGTGTGTGTATTCGTGTCGGTATCTGTCGTGTGAGTGTGTGTGTCGTGTTATCCTGTGTGAGTGTGTGTGCGTAGTGATATCCGTGTGGTGTAGTGTGTGTGTATTCTGTGGTGTTGATGTTGTGTGTGTGTGTTCTGTGTCGTGAGTGTGTGTGTTTGGTATTTGTGATGTGTGCTCGCGCGTTACTCTTGTGAGTGTGATGTTGAGTGCTGTAAATCCCTGCGTGTAAGTGTGTGTGTGTGTGTGTGTTGTGTGTGTGTGTGTTGTGTATGGTGTCTTGTGTGTGTCGCGTGTGTTGTTATGCTGTGTGTAGTGTGCGTGTGTGTGTGTGTGTGTGCTGTGTATCTGGTGTGTGTGTTTGCTGTGTGTGTCATCCTGTGTGCACTGGTGTGCTGTGTGATTGGAATAAGTGTATTCGTTGGTGGGTGGTGAGTGTGTGTGTGTGTGTTGTGTGTGCTGTGATGACTATTCTGTGTTGTGTGTGTGTGTGTGTGTGTAAACCTCTGTGTTGACGTGCTGCCTGTGTGTGCTTAGATGTGTATCTGTGTTGGAATGTTGTGTGTGAGTGTGTATCTGTTGGTGTAAGTTGTGTGTTGTGTGTGTGCTGTGTGCTCGTGTGTATGTGTCTGTGTGTCGTGTGTGTGTGTGCGTTGTATTTGTGAGTGCTGTGTGTGGTGTTGTCGGTGTGTGTGGTGTTGTGTATCCCTGTGTGTAGTGTGTTGTGTGTGTGTGTATCTGTGTGAGTGTGGTGCGTGTGAGTGTGTATCTGCCTGTGTGGTGTGTGTGTGTGAGTGTATCTGTGTGCTGGACGTGTGTGCCGTGTGTCGTGTGTGTGTGTGATGGGTCGCTGTACGCTGAGTACCACCTGTGCTGTGTGTGTGTGGTTCGTGTATCCTGTGTGTGAGTGTGATGTGTGTATCGTGTGTGTGTGTGTGTGTGTCATCTGTGGTGTGAGTGGTGTGTTTGTATCTGTTGTGAAGTGTGGCTGAGTGTGATCTGTGTGAGTGTGTGATGTATCCTGTGTGGGTGGGAGTGTGGTGTGTGCCTGTGTGTATCTCCCCTGTGAGATCGTGTGTATGTGTGAGTGTGTCCCATCTCATAGTGTCGTCTGGTGTGTGCTGTAGTCGTGTAATGTATTCTGTGTGTGAGTGTGTGGGTGGTGTTGTGTGGGTGGTGTGTGTAGTGCCGTTGCCTTCTGTGTGTGTGTGTGTGTGTGTAAATCTGATGTTGATGGGTTGTGTGTGTCGTCACTCCTGTGTGGTGTGTGTGTCGGTATCTGTGTGTGTTGGTGTGCGTGTTTTTGCATCTGATGTGAGTGTGTGAGTGTGTACTCTGTGTGTGTAGTGTGTGTGTGTATCCCTGTTGTGTTGTAGTGTGTTCAGTCCTTTTATCCATATTAGCTACAAAACCATCCACATAACAGAAACAGACGTGAATGTGCTTCCCCTCACAGTGAACTCAACAAAAGCTCCACGCAGAGCTATCCAGATATTTCACTCCTGAGATTTGTCTCCCCACAGGCTGTGAAGACATTGTTAGGGTTTAGGGAACCTCCTCTCTCACCTCCTGAAGTCATATAGGCAGCGTTATCGGCACATTTATCAGGCAACGTTATCGGAAAAAACGCCTATCGGCAACCGCTAATTCGGCCATGGCTATGGAACGAAGGGCACCGGGGAACCTCCAGGGACCTCCCAGTGCTCTGCAAGCTGAAGATGCAGAAGGAGCTGCGGCAGAGAACTCTCTGATCGAATGACCTGGAGGCTGGAGCTGGAAACACCACAAAGACGACCTGATGCCGGCCCAGCATGCAGATTGAGCCTGGACCCGCCACCGCAACGCCTCCGCAGGCCACGCCCGTCAACCGCCGGGGAGAACCGGGCGACAGCCGGGGTCCAGTGTCACCCTAACATGACTGTTAGTGACAGTTGGTCCCATCAGGAAACCTTCCCATAAAATCACCCCTCCGTACCGCTGGTTGCTGTTCACTGGGAGCTGCCTGA